CAAACCGTTTCTGATAAACCTTGATAAGAAAGTTACAGGGGTTAGTCCAGGCAGCCATCAGGAATCAAAAATTGACTTGGAGGCACACACTAAAAAAAATCCACAGTCAACTGGAATGTTGTGAAATGCTCAGTACTTAACCATCTGTTGAGCTGAGAAAGCTAAGCAGGTTTATATCATTAACAGAGTAGAAAACCCACATGACGTCCTAGACTAGCCTGGGAAAAATCCATCACAACCAAGATGGCAATGTTTGGCTGAGGCTTGATGTAAATATTCGGCAAAATCAATTGTGAGTGAGATGTTAGTAATGTTATACTACCTTGTTTCCAGGGGTGGGTTCCAGCTTCTGCTACTGCTGGTTCACTCAGGGACATGCTTCAGGCATATGCACGCTTGATTGTGCACTATGTGCTCATGCACAGTAGTAAAAAAAATTCTGATAGAACCGCTGATAGAACCGGTTCAGGGGCATGGCAGGCTGAGTTACTACCTATTCGGCTGAACCTGTCCAAACCGGTAGGAACCCACCTCTGCTTGTTTCCTCAAACAATGAGAATTTCAGAGATGCCCTATTTACCTATTTGATCTTAGGAATTAAGTTCCAAGAAATTTGTAATATTTGTTTTCATCCATACACAGTCATTTTCCACAGAATATTTCTGAGAGGTTGCTAAGATTAAAAAGACAAAACTAACCCAGGGAAGGAAAAAATAAATAGCCAAATGATGACTTTCATTTGGGTTCCCATGCGCCACCAAAAAAATGGAATATTTATGTTATGCTTCCACAGAGCTTAGCTCTTCAACTGGGACAGCTTCCATTGTACAAGCTTGTAAATTTATTTATTTATTTATGATTGAAGGATTACTTTTTCAGTAAATGTGTTAATCCTAATTTCTATTGATTAAGTGTAGTTGCCATGCACCCTGCAGCTTGCTTCCATCAGTTACTACTCCTTATACTCTATGCTGTTCTACACAAATATCTAAAGTAAGTTTGTCTGTGAGCCATTGCTTGCTAATAGCACATCTTGATAAAATTTGTGCTTTTTAATGAGTGAAGACCCAGCCAAGGTCCCCTGTGCACATAGATCTAATGGCATCAAGCATGTCTTGAGTGCATAGAAGTTAATAATTCTGATACTAGTGTTACCAAACTCGATTGCAGCAACAGAGTGGTCAATGCCTGGAATGCATTACCTGTCTCTGTTGTTACATCCTCAAACCCCCATAACTTTAACCTTAAACTGACTACCGTGATTTCACCCCATTCCTAAGAGGTCAATAGGGGCGTGCATAAGCACACCAGTGTGCCTAACAACTCTGTCCAACTGTCCCCATTTATTTGTACCCATTTCCTGTGTTCTTATTCATGTTTATTCCTATTCCTGTTATCTTGTACATGAGTTAAAAACTACATAAAAATAAATAAATAAATATCTTAAACCCTTTTTCATGACTGCAAGATCAATTAGTATGCCCTTCATGGTATTGGACCTGGGTACTTGAGAGACCGCATGCTGCCAATTACCTCCCAAAGGCCCATTAGATCCCACAGATTAGGCCTCCTCCGGGTTCCGTCTACCAGCCAATGCCATCTGGCTACTACCCGGGGGAGGGCCTTCTCTGTGGCAGCACCGGCCCTTTGGAACGAACTCCCCGCAGAGATTCGGACCCTCACCTCTCTCCAGGCCTTCCGAAAAGCCGTTAAAACCTGGCTGTGTCGGCAGGCCTGGGGTTGATGAGTTCCCTTCCCCTCTCGATTGTGTGTCTGTTGGTCATTTTAAATGCTTGTATTTGTAGTTCTTGTGTTTCCCTTCCCCTTTTGGGTTTGTGAGCCGCCCTGAGTCCCGCTGGGAATAGGGCGGCATATAAATAAAACGAAACCTAAACCTAAACCTAATTAGTTGGGGGGCATCAAAAGTCCTTCAGTAACTATTATGGTTGATCTGCATTTGAAACTTGGAGATCTCTTCATCAAGTCTGACATGTAGCCAAGTTGTAGGAAACACTGATTTTGTGGTCCAGAGTGTCATGGTTATCTTTTCCTGTTTCTGTGAAGCGCCCTACAGATCTGTGATTTAAAAAAAAAACTTTCAAGAAGAATTTGGAAGTACTTCAAAGTGAATGCTGACCTCCAGCCACCTGTCATTTTTATCCAAGGAATTCCCAGCATGTCCCCCCACCCTTCCAAATCCATCAGTAGATACAGCTTCTGTCAGTAAAACGATACCACTGAATATTACCCAAGTCTGAATGTATCTGAAATTATTGCATCTATCAGTAATAACAATCAGTAATCAGTAATTTTAAGATTGATATCAAGCATAATTCATGTTATGAAAATGATCTGATCATTGGAATGATTTGATTAAATTGGTTCATATGAAGTTTCTATGGTATGTTGTTTTTATTAGATTTTTTACCCCATCCTTATTACTTAATAAGTAACAAGGTGGTGAATATACTTAATATTATTTCTTCTTATTTTTCCCACAACAACAACCCTGTGAGGTGGGATGGGTGGATGCCATTTTGACTTTTTGAGGTAAGATACATATATGGATCGAAATAAAAATAAATCATGAAAAGCTCATATGTGCACTTTTGAGCAACTACACTTTTGAATAACTATAATTAAAGCACCGTGTAGTTATGCACAAAGGAATCTTCCTTAGACAATATTTCTCCAGCAAAATGACCTCCTCCTGATTCAAATTAAAAAGTCTTCACGTTGCTTCCCACATTTCATTTTTAAATATAACTGCCACTAGTTCAGGGATATTCTTGCCTATTCAATTCAGTCATTTTGGAAAAGGAATCTGAGGGTTTCTTTATTTTCTGTAAACGGAGTTTGGAAAATGTTCCTGGCACGCAGATGAAGCCAACTGAAATGTTTCACCTATTGAATTTCTTCAGCTTGCCAGGCAGTCATTAAGGAAATACGGGAGTCTTGCCAGAAAATAAATTGCTAAACTCTAAATTTAACAGGTTTTCCAAATTATTGGCCCTGATTTAGTTATAGTTACTGTTATTTATTAGGTTTTCACTTTGCAGCTAGAGTAGTTGAATAAAGGCGCTTTTGCACAGCTGCTCTTCCTATTTCTCACGGCTTCCAAAGCAACTTAGTGATAAATTGTGCCATCTTCACATCTGGAAGACAGAAAATACTACGGATGTGCAGGGAACACCATTAGTCAACGAATGTTCTTCTGAAAAAGACAGCTAGATGATGATAGATAGATAGATAGATAGATAGATAGATAGATAGATAGATAGATAGATAGATGAGAGACAGACAGACAGACAGACAAATGGGTGTATGCATGAATTTAGCTTCCTACTATTAAACAAAGTTAGCAAAAGACAAATTCTTTTTAAAATTAAATGTGGACTTTGAAAACTGTATTGTAAGACAACAAGAAAAAATATTTAATGTACAGGACCATATGCATATTGCAAATTTCACCCTGCTATGTATCTATCACATCCAGACTTAAGAAGAGAGGTGTGTTTAAATAATTGCATTTCCAAAAAGTCATACTGGCAAAAAAGTTTAAAAAACAGACTGCCTTTTTCATTCTTCAAAATGCAATATATTCTTCTACAAAAATTCTATAAGATAAAAATTTGAAGGAACTCTCCTTCCATTTGAATTATGCAGATGATGTACAATAGGTTTCTAAACATAATTACAGGTAATTAGATTATCATCAATATATGTGTTGTTATTATCCTGCATGAATTTTAATGTTATTCAAGTTACTGGCCCTCACTACATCTTGAGGTAGTGAAGTCTATTGGGCACAGCATGAAGTAGTTTTGTCTGAGCTTCAGTGGATGCCCCACCTCCTAGTGTTTTAAGAGAGGAAAGAAAAATTTTCTGTGTCCCTTTTTTTCAAATCATGTATCATGCTGTATTCCTGGTGCAGCTATGTCATAAACTTAGCATTTTAAAACTTTTTTTATCCATTTCCCAAGGTTCCCCAACAGGAAATATAACTTTTTCACAGATTCAGCGCTCTGACGTGACATTTTCTTTGAACTATCCAATATGATCTATAAGATTTTTTTTCTAGTTAATTTCAAAAATACTGAGATAACACCAATTTGTATGTGATGCTAGATCTCTTTGTCCCAGTTTTGATCACTTTACTTAGTTAAATTGAATGGATGGATATCCACAAGGAAATTAAAATATATTTCCATGTGAATATCCATTTAGAGTAATTCTTGTGAATCTTTTCACAATGATCACCTTGTGAAAATTATCCCCAAAACTTGGCAAGCTCACTGTTCATCACTATGCACCTGTTTTACTTCCCACCAATACGAAAGTTGCTTATTTACTTCTGTTGTTGTCTTTCTGATTTTTAACCAACTAGCAAAGCATGATAGTTAAATTTACTTTTCCCATGATGAGGAACTTCATCAAAAGCTTTTTTGAAAACCTATGTATACATTGATAAGTTAAATCCATTTAACCCTCTCAGAAAATTCTACATGGCACTCTCTTAAAAATAGCAATAGCAATAGCACTTAGACTTATATACCATGTCACAGTGCCTTACAGTCCTCTTTAAGTGATTTACAGAGTCAGCATATTGCCCCCAACAATCTGGCTCCTCATTTTACCAACCTCGGAAGGATAGAAAGCTGAATTAACCTTGATCCGGATAAGACCCAACTGCCAAACTGCTGGCAGCCGGTGACCAGCAGAAGTAGCCTGCAGTACTGCACTCTAACCACTGTGTCACCGTGGCTCATGTCCCTCCTATGGATATTCATAACAAATCAGTTACTTCATAAGACAGGAGGTGCCTTATTTTATCCAGGTTACAATCTATTGAGAGATATTTTATTACTATAATTGTTTTGCTGGGGCAACAAGCTGTCATAGTCCCAAATCAATATGGACATTTCTGGGTATGATGGAAGTTATCATTACACTTTTTCAATCATATAATATAGGTAACAAAGAAAAACTAACAAAGCAAATAAGAAATACATATTTATGCCAGGTGATAAGTTAGGTGTAGACAATATGGTGCTCTCCAATGATAGTGAATGATGAGCACTGTACTCTCATCTATCTTTAACATGAAAGGTCATTAAAATGCAAAAGCTTTAGGTCAGCCTCTCTTATAGTCCAATTGACTTCCCAGGAGGGGAAAATGAGAAGAAGCAATATGTACACTAACTTTTACACCTGTCCGAAAAGGTGAGCTAGGCGTCTAACATATAAATAATACATGAATAATGGCAGTGGCACGATGGTTTTGCAGTCCAATAACTAGAAAGAATCTATGCTGGGGAAATTCCCATTTACATAACCACAAACTGAAAGTGTCATCTGGCTGTGGAACACAAGGTAAAACCTTTAGCCTGATTTTGGTTGGTTTGTACCCAAATATATCAGCTCACTCAGCTTATCTGTCCTGCATTGGCTAAATCAGGTTCACTCCCTATGGAATTTCAGTTCGGTGCTCCTTTTGGCAGCAAAGAGGAGTTCAGGAGGAGTCTTTTATAGGACATTTATATACTGCAATGCTCCATACAGTCTATTCCACAATGTCTCTTTCTTTTCAGTAAACGTACAACTGTCGTGATGCTGCTTAAGTGTCCACTCGTATATCTAGAAAAGTAATGAATTCAACCTGCGGCATGATCAGGCAGGTCTTCTTGTCCCTGCCATCATGTGTATATTTTCCCAGAACAGGCAAGCCATGCTCTCAAAAGCAAAGATAGGAAAAAAGAAAAAAAAAAGATTGATCTGTCAATGAATTGCATGCATTAATATAATCGGAATGTGTAGGATGGCTTTCGGAGTCTGTAGGCTTGCGATATAATATTATGTAGATATAAATAAAGCACATCCACAGTTTTTGTAAAAGTACCAGGGCCTGAAATGATGAGGCTTAAATTGTTGATTCACAGTCTTATTGGGCAGTGTTGAATTTTCATTAATACAGTACACTCTTTTGCATATCAGACTTTCCTTTTCTTAATGTTGCCTGCATTAATCCTTTATCCAGTTCCTTTAAAAAAAATACTCCCAAGATAAATATTCGTTGCTAAGAAATTTTAGTGTAGCCTGACCCTTCGTTCTTTCCCTTCTGGGAAATATCTGGCAGCTTCATTGGCAGCACACGTAAAGGGTTTCTTTTCTTGGCAAAAATGACCAAATTATCTGTAGGCGTAAAGCTTCCTGGCCTTCCTAGGCCACCATAATGGGAAACCTTTCGAGCCCAACAGAAGCTAACAGTGGCACTAAGCTGGGTCTCTTCTGAACTTCGTTGACCTGCCTCTGATTCCTGAGAACCAGGGCTAGTTTTTCTTTGCAAGTCCTCGCTGGTGTCCCTGCGGTGCTGGGCTAGACTGCTCGAATGAGATGCTCCCAGGAACGTGGCAGTTCTTGGTTTGTCTTGTTCAATAAAATTCTTAACCATGGGTGATGTGTAAGTGGTATAGGCTGGCCAGCGACACACATGGATGAGATGGGATGGGATGCCAATATTCCCCGATTTCAAAGACCGATCTGGAACCCAGAAGAAAAATGACATTTTAGGAGAAGCATCTCAAACCCAAATGGCACCACCTACAAAGAACAACCTGTTTCCTACAGATCAGAAGAAACTGATTTCTTGATGCAAAGCTAGGCAAATGTTTTGAATCAGAGACATATCATGAATTATGAACATGGTGGGTCTCCTCCTAAGGAGTAGTGGCAGGATTCAATTTTTTTTACTACTGGTTCTGTGGGTGTAGCTTTGTGGGCATGGCAGGGGCAGGATACTGCAAAATCCCCATTCCCTCCCTACTCCAGGGTAAGGTTATTGCAAAATCTTCATTCCTTCCCCACTCCAGGGGAAGGTTACTGAAAAATCCCCATCCCTTCCCGATCAGCTGGGACTTGGGAGGCAGCAAATAGATGGGAGCGGGGTCAGTCAGAGGTGGTATTTACTGGTTCTCCGCACTACTCAAAATTTCCATTACCAGTCCTCCAGAACTGGTCAGAATGCCTGTTGAATACCTGTTGAATACCACCTCTGCTAGGGAGGCTACCATGAGAGAGTTTTATCTTTTCACAAATCAGATGCCCCAAATACTAAGGCATATTTGCCAAATCAGACTGACTTTGAGTGTAGGCACATAGTCCAAAAACATCTGGAGGTGACAAGGGTGGAGACATTTGGCCTAATAGAAAGAAATTACCAGTGGTAAATATAAAACCTTGAAATGAAAACATATGAAAATTCACACAGATAACATTTTTTAAAAAATAGCAAAAAGACTTATGGAAATTGTGATAATGCTATGGAGGAATACCGTTGTGGGGCTGGCAAAAACTATTGACTTCCTCATGTTTATTGACAGCTGAATTATTATTAGTGAAAACTTTATTATGTATTATTATTATTCATGAAAAGTGCTTGTGTATTATTGTATATATGCATATATAATTCAACAAATGAATACCTGAAGGACACTTTCTCATCTGACTCTGCCATAAATAATAAAGCATCCAACCATTGAACTGTTATTGACAGACACCATCATGGAAAAAAAATCCAGAACTAAAGGCTTGAACTCCAGACATATACTGTATGTTTAAGAGGAAGTCGCACTGAGTTTCTGTCTAGACATATTTAGAACTGCGTGATAAAATGCACTCCGTTCATAGAAGAAGTGCTCTCACATGAGTGTGTCAAAATGTAAAGACAGACAGAAAAGGAAGACCAAATGTTTTTAATTAGTAACAAGGTCTTTTATTGCTATGAACTCTGCTTCAATCTGGTTGGTGGACAGAACTGGACTCTGTTGGTGTAGGGGAGGATAATGTTGTCAGTACAACACTAGCGGTGTAAGTTTGAAAACCTGCCCATAGTAATAAAACTGACAACAGGACAATATGTTGCACAGCTACGTATTTCCATTGCCAGGAAGAACCAAAATCATGCAGCAAAGTTGTGTTTTCCACTCAAACTGGCTGAAGTGGTATAGGCGTACATTAGCTACTCCAGTGGTGGGTTTCAAATTTTTTTGGAACCTCTTCTGTAGGTGTGGCCTGCTTTCCGGGTCACTGGTGGAACCTCTTCTAACCAGTTCGGTAGATTTGACGAACCGGTTCTACCAAATAGGTGTGAACTGGTAGGAACCCACCTCTGAGCTACTCCAATTGACTTCAGCCCTTCCCTCCAATGTTTCCCAACCTTAGCAACTTTAAGATATATGGGCTTCAACTCCCAGCCAGTATGTAAAGTTCACACATCTTAAAGTTGCCAAAGTGAGGCACTGCTTCAATCACCCATTACTACCCTTCATGGCCATTGTATTTATGAACACATAAGAAAAACACACCAATGGAATAATGGGGGGAAAATGGCTTTTTAACAAGAAAGGAAAGATCTGAGTGATGGAATAGTAAAAGGATCAACCTGCTTTTAAAAAAAACAGTGAAATTGACAATTCTATCACTTTCCTCTTTTAGCAAAAGTGTTAGGACAAATGATAAAAATGTAGCATTTTGTTTTGCTTTTGTCAATCCAGGTAAATTCACCAAAGTCCAGGGATGATATCAGACTGTAACTTCACACAAAGCAAAGAGAAAGATTGAAACCTGGGAAAGCATTTCTTCAGCTGATTTCATTTCCAGCTGGCTTATATATGGGAGTCCAAGAGCTTAAGACTGCTGCATGGAAAAGCTTTAGATATTTTTCTTTGATGTTGTTTCCCACACTTATAAAATTCATCTTTCCCCAGTGAAATGATCTATTTATGAAATTATTCAAAGGTATTCACATCCCTATATGTTTCTGGGGATTTTTTTCCCCCCTAATAGACATTACAAATCTCGAATTTTATTTCTGTTCTCCAGGAGTTAATTTGCTGTGCTAATTTGCTGTAATATGAAATTGATCTTACTTCTCTTCTCTGACCCCACCCAATAGTTCGGCCAAAGCAAAGCAAGATGCAGCACAGAATCATTTATGAAAGCAGATTTATCCCTCAAGCCCTGGCTTTTTAAGCTGCTAAAGAGAATCTTGGAAACTGTTTGATGAGTTTCACAGAAAAAGGCTAAAAGATACAGGCCAGAAGCAAGATAAAAAAATTGAATGTGCTAATTCTAAAATCAAGAGGTCGTCTTTCAAAAAGGGTAAGGGGAAAGAGGTGATGTAGAAGGATGCAGGAAGTTATCTAACTCCTATGCTGGTCATTATTAGTTGGCCATGTTAAGGTGGGGCAGATCATTGGAGAAAGAAATTCTGTTTGGAAGAATTAGCTGTAAAAGTAAATCAAGCTGCCAAAGAACATGATGGACACCCTCAAAGCTCATACCAGCCACATCATAGAACAACTGAAAGAAGTAGTCCAAAATTGGAAGCTGTAGCGAGTCTTGTCCCATGGAATTGCCATGACTCAGACATGACTGAATGGACAGTATCAACATTATCATGCTGGTCATTGATCATAAAAAGGACTGATACAGTGGTGGGTTGCTGGATTACTACTGCTCGCGCATGCAACACTTCTGCACATGCACAGAAGCATCCGGATGAGTGGGCAGAGCCTCCTGCCACTATCACTACCGGTTCAGTCAAACCGGGCCAAACCGGGAGCAATCCATCTCTTCACTGATATGTTATCTAGCTCCTTTGGCAAATTTCATCCTTGTTGAAGATGCTCAAAATGTATCAACTGCAAAGAGATGGTTTAATAAGGAAGAGATTGAAAGCAATTTATAGGTCACCATTATTCCTTTCACATTGGGTTTCTTTAGAAAATGGGATTATATTAATAGCTGTATAATTTGAATGTTTTAATTCATGCAGCTCTGTAGTTGGCACGGTTGCCCCGTCAGCTCTTTGAGAAAGCAGGAGAGCTCCCGGAATCTATTCCATTGTTACAGAATATTATAACATAATCTTGAAAACCTGACAGTTTCCATCTCTCTTCTCTTACACCAGGTGAGTTAAGGTAAGGTGGGAGCAACCTTGCCTTTCTTCCACATTCCCTCCTGGCTTTCTGGTCTAAGCAGATGTTTTCACAATGGCTGTGGCATATCCGTTTCAGCATACTCCAGTGAAAATATAAAGCACATAAACACTGACATGGTGTTTTATCCCAATTTTTAAAAAAAAATTAAAGGCAATTCTGCCAGAAGGAACACCATGAAATAAAAGTTTACCATCCAATGGGGAAATGGAGCCACAGCATATATATTTTTTTTAAAAAAACACCATTTCCCTAGCTTTGCAGCAGTTGGCTCATTCCTGTAAAATCAATAATATGCTTATGGCACAGACACAACTTGTGCAAAACTGCTTCTCATTGTGGAGGTCTCCTAGCTTTGTGGCAGCATTAATACATTGCAGCTGAGCCAAAAATAAATAATTCCTGCATTGAATACTATTGATGTCACACAGGCATAGAAATCCGGAGCTGTTTTTCAAACTGGCTCAGAAGCCTTGTGTAGAAGCACCCCAAGTCAAATTAGTTCCAGTGTTATGGAACAAAGCTCTAGCCTTTCACGGCCTCTTTAACATTGCACCTATAAACTCTACCACTTGGCTAAGTTTCTTGTTCTTTTTTATAGTTACTACAATCAAGAAACAATTTATTTTTGTGTTATGTCCATTACACTGATTGAGTTTACAGCACATGGGCAGGAAGCCATTTAATGGGAACAAATCCTTTGAAGCTAAACTTGGCAGATACAGGTCTTGGAAAAGATTTGACTGAAAAGCTTTTGTCAAATGGCTTTCCACTGTCGGGCCAACATGAGCATGGAGAAACAAGACCAAAACAGAATTGATGTGTTAGGAAAAGGGAACGTGTGTGTGTGTGTGTGTGTGTGTGTGTGTGTGTGTGTGTGTACAAAATTAAAACTGTGGTACTATACAAAATTCCAGCAAGAAGCTGGCAGGGAGGCCATTTTAACATTTGTTCTGTTTAAAGATAATTTGTGTGCAGGGCATGAGATGATCGTGGAAAGGGCTGGGGAACAGAGAAATAAAATGAAATCAGTTGTCTATGATTTAAAATGTCCTGATAGTGTGTAGAATTAGTAGTAAAAGCAAAGAAGGACAAGTAAAAGTAAAAATCTTTTGTAGGCGGACATTAAAAAAAATCTTGAAGAGCTACCATGATTGCATCTATTTTTTTTAAAATTTAAAAACAAAGTATTGCTAGGTCCTTAATCCCATAATTCAACGCATATTCAAAGACTGAAAGGCCCCAGCCTTGTCCCTTATTTATTTTGCCATATGGTTTTCATCCACACTCGCTCTGAGCCCCCTGATTGGAAGGCTCTCCTGTCTTCAGAAACAAGGGGGTGGGGGTGGCGAATGCTTTCCCTTTGGTCTGGAAGAGAGATTTTGTATAATGCAAAAGTCTTGTCTGTGAATAGGGCTAATAGTTTCCCTTCCACCAATATAAGTATGTGCATTTCAGTCTTTAGACATAATTTAACTAAAAACAGTATGCTGGTCCAGTAGATGTTTTCACCGTGGTCTTATCTTATGACATAGAAAGAGA